GATATTTGAGATTTGACCAAATTTGGAGTCTCGAATTACAGAGTCATTTGTAAAAGGACCTATAAAAACTACATGCAAGTTGATGATTATAGACTACATGCATGCACCATACGAGGTTAGTATTATTGAAGACTGAAATCTTTAGCGCGTATGCATATATAAAAAAGTGGGCTAGTATGCAATTAGGTTTCCATTCAGGTTTTTACTCCCCGGGAAACTATATAGACATAGTAATAGTAATAGATTAGCCATCAACATCAACTCTTGATCACGTATTTGCTGACCCTAACCTATATTTTCCGGATCCTTGATTATCAAATGTATTTGGAAGATAATAACAAATTTTTTCGCAACATTAACTCAAAATTCAATTTGTGTTAGCAATCAAGTCAGTTTCTAGTAGAAATGCCTAACATATCGGCTATATATATTGGATCATCTACTACTACATCGATTTTGATAAGGAGCAGTATATGGGGTGCTAATTTCATGGCATTTATTTCTTATAAATAATGAGGATAGGAATATATAGGGTATTAAAAAATTACATCAATATTTTAAAAAATTAAAAATTAAATTAATCTACAAATTATCATCCATATTAATATGTTGACTAATTGACAAGTTTTAATATATATATAATATGTATATATTCATAATACTTTTATCTTTTGATTCCGCATGACAATGATATATTCTATTCATATGTAGTCTTTGATTTTTTTAAAAATAGATTTTCGAAACTTACAATTGATGTAAACATGTATCATCATAAAGTTCTGAACACACCTCCGCCTTATATCATCTTTTCCCCTCGATTTTATTTTCCATAAAAGTCGATCAACACTTGTTATTGAATTAGAGTTTTTTTTGTTTTTCATCAAACATGTCAAAACACTCATTTGCCAATAACGAAACAGTAAACAACAAGTTGTTTTTCATCAAACACTCCTTGCCGAAATTTAAATTGAAAAATATAGTAAACAACAACGACAAAAACAATAAAGAAAAAATCAGTAATAGTAAAATAACAAACAACAAATAACGTTAAAACCAACAACAACAAATCTAATTAGAATCGGTCAGTATTAACAATATTAACTACATAATACATAAATAAAATCAAATTTTTTGGTTTCAAAGTAAACAATG